GGGGCCTGGGGTGGGGCGAGTCAGGGCAGCTGGGGGGCTTGGGCAGGGGCGAGTCAGGGCAGCTGCGGGGCCTGGGGTGGGGCGAGTCAGGGCAGCCGGGGGGCTTGGCCAGGGGCAGCCCCTGCTGCTCTGCCCACAGCGTCCCTCTGCCGGGAGGCGACCGCATGGCGCTCTGGGCTGGGGCCTGGGGCCTGGGGCCGGGCTGGACCCGGACCTCCCTCCTCGCGCGCCTCCGGGCGACCGGCTGGCTACCTGCGGGCAGCGACACCTTTGGAAAAACGTCTGCTTGGTCGCCGGCCCATTCGGGCTGGGCCGCTGGGCTTTCGCTACCGCCCCGAGGCTGTGCAGGCTTCAGAGCCCTGGTCAGGCGGCGGTGTGGGGCGACCCGGGGGCGCCTCTCCATCTGAGTTGGCCACTTGCCGAGGTTTTTAATTTGACGTTGGGTCACTTTTGCTGTCGCAGCCCATCAGACACGACAGCGGATGGGGCGTTTGCTTCCCCTGGGCCCGTTTCGGGTCTTTACTCCTCTGGGCTCCCGCTGCGCGGCAGCCCGCCCCAGGCCCCCCGGGGAGGGCCCTCCTGCCCGCCTGGGATCTCGCGTGCTGGCGTCTGGCGCGGCCCTCCGGCAGGTCCCCGCGGCCTTGCTCGCTTCCGGCGGGGCTGCGCCGCCTCCTGCTCTGGGGCCTCCGGCTCCATCACGTCAGGGCCAGCTGTTCCACTGAGAAGCGTCTCTGGCACGTGTCAGACGCACGGAATCCGCAGCCACCCTGGGCAGCCGGACACCAGTGAGCCGCCCGGCCCTGGCGCGCGGCCGCTGCCTTTCGCTCCCATCACGGTCACAGCGGCTTCCGGCGGCCGAGCCCGAGCCACCCACCGCGAAGACGCGAAACTGCGATACGGGGTTGGGGGTCACGGTCTCCTAACACCCTGTGGGGGTTGATGAAATGCCGCTGGCGGTGTTTCACAGCGGGCAGAGGTGGGCGGGGGGCACGGACTGTCAGGTCGGTGACCGTGGGTGCCAGGTGAGGGGGCATCGCATGCCCACGCGGACTTTCCCTCTCCGACGTTCTGAAGCCAC